TTGGATATAGGTACATCTAATTAAAAATAGAAGGAAATGCACTTGAGGGGCAGACGAGAGAGTGGAAAGAAGAATCCGTGGTTCATTCAAGAAGCACTAAACTCTAGTTAGCTGTTAGGTCCAGCATGGCCAGTATATCCAGACACTGGTGGTTTTTAGGGGTCAGGTTTGTTTGTTTCACTGCTTCCGATCAGTGGGGTGCAGTTACTGTCTGTGGTTCCTTCCCAACTCACACACTGTGCAGCTGATAAAGACCATTATGGGCTGTTGCTATGCTGACTGCAAAACTGGCTTTTCCTTGTGAATGTTCCAGGAGAAGCAATATTTGTCTTGTGCCAGGGTGCTTTGCTTTCCATGTTCTCACTTGTTGCACACGGCCAGGAATTTGTCTCTTGGACGTGCTCAAAGGAATACTTCGTGTGTTTGTCTGGAGAGCCAGATAAACTTCTCTGTGTGTTTGTGTGCGTAGCCATCTTGGCAGCTAGATACATTTTCTCATTTGGTTTTTAGTTTGCTAAAATAGTCTACATTTGGTCCAGGTAACTTATTCCTTTTAGCTCTGGAAGTCTTCCTGTCAGTTTATTCAGATGAGAGGCCCCTGTTATGTTACTTCTTATCCGTTGTATCATTTGGGAATTTGAAATGTAATTATTAACTCTTCTGAAGCATAATTTGTCACAGCCCTTCTGAGCAAACAAACTTAGAGAGATCACCACCCAGTGCTTTTGCCCTTCTCCTTCACTTCCTGTTCCTCAGTTGTAGAGTGTTGCTTAAAGTTAGCAAGGGACAGGATGTAGGGTGGAGGAAATTAATGAATAAACTTGTGAGGCTTGCCAGTTAACTGTTTTAAAGGCAGGGCGCTTGGGATCTTTGCTGTGAGTACTTTCCTTTTCTGTGTCTCAAAATGCCAAAACTAAAAGCAGGATGTTGTCCTGAATTGGTGAAGAAAAGGAGATGGGGTTCATTCTTACTACTATTTGTTTGATGAGTGTGGGAAACAACTAGTCTGTATGCCTTGCTACATCCCATTCTCTGGTAAACATGTCACTTCAGAATTTATCTTAAACAGCCCAACTGACTTTTCCGCTGGCTGAGTTTGCAGATCTACACCACATGGGCCTGTCATTGGGTGCTTTCAGCCAAAGAGGGTTCCTCGAACTACCAATCAAAAGGCATTATGCAGTTATTCCATTCTCCCTCTTGGACAGAAGTTCAGTGGTACTCTCCTCCCACAAAAGAGGTAGAAGTGGTGGGAAAGCACGGGGTGGTTACAAAGGGAAGATATTGTCTGGCTGCCCCTGTCCCCCACCCAGGTGAATTTCTTTCAGTGACGCAGGTTGATTGCACAATAAAAGCCCCTCTGCTTTTTTCTAGGTAGACCTTATTTTGCATTTGCACATCATATACTTTATGTGTGGGTTATTTGGGGGTCTCTGGGGATCATTTAGTCCCCCTCCCTGAAACCTGCTGGCGGGCCGCACTGTGCAATGTTAGACGGGCCTTTTCCAAAGTCAAGGTGGTATCACCTAATTTTGGTTTATAGGATATGTTCATACCTCACTTTTTAAATTAGTGTAGATGACTACCTGATTATGCTAATTCAGTCAAGAAACAACCTTCTCTGCTGTTTCAAGTATTTTGGGGTATAACCTACCCCAGGGGTCCTTAAACTTTTTCAACGGGGGGCCAGTTGAAAGGCGGTGGTGGTGGGTGCGGGCCGGCGAGGCGGCAGCGGTCACGAATGTGGCGAGGCAGCAGCTCGCTCACTCGGAGATTGTTTTCTCTGAGCGAGTGCAAAACCTCTGAGGCAAGCCGGTTAAATGCGCATGCCGGGCCGGATCTGGCCACCAGACTGTAGCTTGAGGACCCATGGCCTACCCTATCCCCATCTGGAAAGATTGCAGCAGTGTCACTCAATGCAATCTGTGAAACATTTGAGAGTGGATATAAAAGATTTGGGAAGAAAAGATAATTAAAAACCTCTAAAGACCTCTAAAGCAATGTTTATACAAGGTTAAGAATCAAGCAGATCTTTTGTGAGGCATAACATCTGGTTCCAGGCATTCCTGTAACAATCCTGCTGTCATTAGTAGTTAAAAAGATCAAATAACGTAATGTAACTCTCCAGAGCTCTTACAGTGTGAAGTACTTCTTAGCTAGAGCTTAGTCGCAGCTGACAACTGACTGCATTTCTATTGCTAAGGCAACAGTTTCCCTTCAGTTTGCACCCTGACTGAGAAGAGAAGTGACATAATAACAACATGTGTTGAAAAAATAGATACGGGAAATATTTTCTCTGAAAAGGTCACTCTGCCCAGAACTGTGCATTTCAGGTACACCGAGAAAGGAACAGTAGTTAAACGGCTGCAGAGATGTGTCCAGCATAACTGCCTCTATAAATGCAATGTGAGAATAAGAGGCCTCCAGTTCAGAGACAAAATTTACTGTTGAATATGACTTAAGCTTCATTTCCAGTTGTACAGAAAAAAAATAGAAGTGGACGACATCTGTGCTATCAACAGGTCTCACATACAGCAGGCGATTTGATTCCCCTGCAGCTGTGGATGGTTACCTTTTGCAACTGAGAATTTCTGGTCTTGTAGTGCCCACAGCAGCAGGGTGTGTGCAAGAAAGATAGAAATTATACATGAGTTAATAGTCATTTTGTGGGGGGATTTTTTCTTTTTCAAACCACACCTCTGAGAACGATTGAATCATAGCTGTGCACACATTGCAGCACATTCAAAGGGCAGCAGGGTTTAGGACGATACTGGTTTCTCGCGTGCTTCCCGGAGGTATGTACCCGTGCCGGAGGAACCCTCGCTTGGGCTCATATTCCTTAAAAGCAAGCCCCATTTCTGGTCTGTTTTGTACCCTGGGAGTCTGAGTGTTCAGAGGTGCTCTTGGAGCTCTTCCCAGATAACTTGAAGCTGGTTTCAGTGGTCTGTGCTTTTACTGAGGTGAGGGTGGTTAACCTGGTCGTTTGGATCTTCTTGTGGGTACTGAGCTAACCGCTTGTCTCTGTCACGCTTACAGACACACTGAGACACCAGCATGTCAAAGTGCCGATCTGTGTGTTCATATTTCCTGAACAGGAAGAAAAGCTATACAGGCATCCCTCTTGGTCCCAAGGACAGCATTGCACAACCATGTCCCTGAAAGCATTCTTTGTGCTTCTTTACTAGCAAAGTAACCCAGTTAATGTGATGCCTAACAGCAGCCTTTCCAACCTGGTGCCTTCCAGATGTGCTGGAATAGAACTCCTGCTATGCCCCAGCCAGCATGGCCAATGATTCTGCCAGCTAGGGATGATGTTAGCTGTAGCTAATACATTTTGAGGCACCAATGTGGAGAAGGCATGCTTAGAGGGAGCCAAGGAAGAGACTATAAAAATTTCCCTGCCTGAGTGTTCACTCCTACATGCAGTAAAAAGAGGAAATAGGGCAGATGTCTGTAGTGTTGAGACCTGTCCCTGATCTCACTTTGTTTGTGTGTACATGCTTCAAGTTCTGGATAGCTTCCAAAAAGTATCATAATCAGGGAAAAGTTGGCCTAACAGGTCTGCTTAATTTCCCCCCCTCCTTCTCCGCACCATATATAAAGAATGCTTTACATGTAAGAGATTTCCTGAATGGATATTGCTGCCAAGTAGAAAATAATATATAAACCATCCCAAGGGTTGAATATGAAGACTTTCCATCTGCTTTGTGGAGCAAAATACTTGTGTGAACTTGCTCATGAGCTACATACAATTTCATATGTATATGTAGTATGCATTGTGTGCAAATTAGGCAGAACTTTTCAGGTTCTCCAGCCACAACTTTCATGTGTACCTGAAAGGCATTGCTCCTTTTTGTTTCATTTTAGAACTATCATTCCAAAGTTTTGTTCAATGGAGTAAAAGGCAGTTTGAGTTCTCTTTCAACATAGCTCCAGGCTACTGATAATCTAATTAACATAGCTCCTGCTCTTTAACTTTGTGGAAAGGGTCAGCTAGGTAAACATTGCCCTAACAATGTAATATTTGGCAAGTAGAAGAGTTTTATGAGAGTCAAAAACTTGCTTTAGTATTTGAAACCTTAGCTGGTCCAATAAAAGTGTTTTGTCTTGCTTGCCTTGGTATCTAGCCAATCCTTTGTTTATATCTTTGAGCATAGGTCTGACTTACCAAAGGTAACCTGAAAAACCATCCCTGTTCTTTCCTTAAAGTGCTTTTGTGGGTGGGATTTACCTTGTTTGCTTGGTTAATTGCTTTGTGGACATAATCTCTCACCTGTTGTGCAGCCTCCCTTCTTTCCTGAGCAAAAACAGATCATTGCAGACTTCAAGTCTTCTGGTTTCTGCCTGTGCCCCCCTTCTCTCTTTGCCAGCACCTTTTTATCTGGGAGAGGCCTACTCTCCCCTTCAGGAATTTGTGATCTGATCCAGAAAGCTGAAAGCTGTTTGCAGGAGATGGAGTTGCATTTACCTGGCAGGGACTGGAGTCCATGGTAACTCTTTGCATCTGGGAAGCAAATATGTGGTGTTACCTTTGTGACAGACAGAATCCTTCTGGGATGCTTTCTGGAATTGGAAAGAAAAGTCTCTTCACAGAATTTGCTTTGTAGAAAAGTGCTTGTGGCCATGTTTGAATGAGGTCATGATACAGAACTAGCAATTAGTCTGCTTCATGCTTTGATGGGTTTGTCTCTGAGATAGGCCTGTTTAAGTTTCTCTTTAGCAGGGCTGCTGGAGTTGAGCAGTCATTGTTCCTGTATTTTCTTTTGGATGTTGAAAGTATTTTTCCTGTTATGTCTCAGTCTACTTAATTTTTGTAAAGGTAAGGGGAGATTTATTGATTGTATTGCGCTGCAGAGAACTGGAGCTTCTCACAGACATATCTGGAAACAGTACAGCATGAAAAGGCTCAGCAGGGGTGGTGGTACCCCTTGGTTGCAGTGGGGAGGAGAAAAAGTAGTTCTTTGCAAAAGTAACCCTCCTTTCATGTGTCTTCTGTGCAGATGCATTGCTAGCAGACTTGGAATCCACTACCTCCCACATCTCCAAGCGGCCAGTCTTCCTGTCAGAGGAAACATCTTACTCATATCCAACTGGAAATCATACATACCAAGAAATCACTATACCTCCTCCGGTACCTCCCCCTCCTTCCAATGAGGCCTTGAATGGGACTGTAAGTGACCCTTTAGATCCGTGGCAACCCAGCATCTCCAGAAATATTCAGCAGCAGGTAATTGTTTTTTATCATAATTTTGTTGTCTGAGGTTATCCTCATGCAAGTGAGGAGTCTAGTTGCTGGGCTGTTGTGGAACAGCTTATTTCGTTTGTTGAAATACTTGCATCCCAACTTCTTCTCCTAGAGAAGTTCTCAAAGCGGCTAACTACAATGGAGTTAGAAATGATGGTATAATTAGCTGAAAGCTGAGGGGTAACACATTGAAAACTCACAGCACAATCTTGGTTAGTTAAAACAGAATTTGGGAATATAGGAACCAGCCAAAACTAATAAGCCTACCTAAATAAAATAGTTTTGTTCTCTTATCTGGAATCCATAACAGAACAGGCCATTTTGATCTCTTGGTATGCGGAGCTCCAAACCCTCTGTATTACAGGGAAGGCTCCTTCAACTGTGCCTCTGAAGACAGTGGGGCATGAAGCATGGCCTCCCCAAGGATCAGAGGGAACTGCCACCTTCAACCCTCCTGAGCTATTAGGACTTTCACCAGCACTTTGAATTGGGATTGAAAGCGACCCAGTCACTTGCTGAGATGCAATAGCAGAGGAGCAACATGTTCCAAAAGACTGACTCTGGCTAAAGCTCTGGTCGCTTTCTGAACTAATGAAGTTTCTGAACACTTCTGAAGGCAATCCCACATTGCAGTCATCAAATCTTGATGCAACTAGCTCAGGTAGAAACAGCCATGGCCCAGTCCCCCTTTTTCTTAACAATAGGTAGTGTTGTGCGCCAGCCTAAGCAGGGTGAACACACTCCTGGCTACAGGCAGCACCTGAACATCAAGGATTGGGTCATAGGCCAGGAGCACTGCCAAACTATGAACTCTCTTCTACTTTCGCACCTAAAACAGGCTGCATCCCTCTCACAGAAATGGTCATTCTTTTGGCCAGGAACACCTCTGTCTTGCCTCAATTGTTTGTGAGCCTCTGTTCAGCCTCCCAAAGACCAAGACCTTGACTGCCACTTTGGCATAGAATGAAGGGGGAAGAGGAAGTTGGGGATCAGTAGTGTTGGCACTACATCCCTGCTCTCTGAACGATCTGTCCAGTGGTTTCATGTAAGCCGCCTAGGAAGGCCTTGGCAGTTATAGGCAGCCTATGAATGAATGAATGAATGAATGAATGAATGAATAAATAAATAAATAAATGTAGGTGCTAAATAGCATATTCACATTGTGTGAATATGTTATCCATCCCAGAGACGTTTATGTGGTGCCGATACTTTATTCTTTTCGAATCCAGGCCAAGCCCTTTTTATTTTCCCAATATTTTAAGGTTTAGACTGAGATTTTAAGTGGGTTTTTATTATACAGAATGAATGCTGTGCTCCACTTTGTTTTATTGGAAGACTGTCCGGAGATCATTTGGCAGTGGGCAGTATGCAAATGTTTTGAATGAATGAATGGATATCAGACTAGCAGTATGAGAGATGAAGAACCTCAGTGCTGGCAGAACCCGGCCACATAAGTCTAGCATCCTTCTTGGGTAAAATCTTGTGTTGTGTTTGGGTTTATACAGACAACGGACTGGTTATCGTCTTTTTAAGACATTTGGAACAAATGGGACCTGGCTTGCTGATGGATGACAGTTTTATGCAAGAGCTGAATCAAAGCACAGAGATGGTTACTTGAGTCATCTTCTAGTGTGTCATACAATATCACCTTAACCAAGGTTGGGCGTCTTGTGCTCTCCAGATGTCTTAGCCTACCACCTCATCATTCCTCACCACATTGGCTAGGGCTGATGGGATTTGTAGGCTAAAACTTGTGGAAGGCCATGAGTTGCTTGCCCCCTCTGGGTCTAGAAGCTGGTGTGCCATACAATCTACTGTAGCTACTACATGGAGAACCTAAATATCCATCTTGTTAATTTAATAAGAACACATGAAATTTTAGTATTTCCTGGCAACTGAAGAATGATGGCTAGTGGTTGTCATGTACTACTAAGGAGAACTGGATACTTCCATGTTTAAGTGGCTGGTAACCACTTGCTGGTAAATTTTTGGAATTTCTGCTCTGTTGACCAAGGATTTTCCATTGACCATGGTTTGTTTATGCTGGGTGGTTTTTGGATATTCAGGCCATATGGCTTGTCATGTCAGCCAACCCAAGCAATGCAGCTGTGAGGCGGTGGGGGTGGAGGTTGTGTGAGAACTAGTATAGAGCAGCTTATGTGAGGGTTGTTTGAGGCTTTCACAAGCACTGTCACCCTGTTTTGGCCAACATGGCAAACCACCGTGGCTAGAATACTCGGACCGGCTGCCTCATTGTTGCGGCCAGCTGTAGCTTACTTGACCACGCAGTTCAGCTCATTATGTTTGTTGCCAGTTGGGTTTGAGTGCTCCCATTAATACTGTGCTCTTTCTTCATGGTCTGCGTAGACCTTCTAGTGAAACACAGCAGTACTCAGCCTTAACTATCAACACAGCAGATGGCTCAAATTTTCCTTTAATGCATAATAATCCACACCCTGAAAATTCTTGTCCATAGTCTCGTCATCAGCACTCTGTGTTTGCAACCGCAGTGGAGTGAGGTAGATCTTAATCACTTACCTGGGTACCTGTGAGCAAAGAGAGTATGCCATCTATAGCCCACAGGTATGTGAGCCATAGATGAGAGGAGGTACGAAATGTGTTTTTGGGGATGGATGCAGGCCAGAGCTGGAGAGAACAATCTGTCACCAGGCTGTATCCTGTTTGTTCCACATTCCAAGATCTCAGTCACGCATAACTGAGCCTGGCTCTCAAAACCTTTTGGGCCTGCCTGAATTGCAAAGAGCCCAAGGGAGTGGAAACTGTTTGAAAAAGTGGTGGAAGCTGTAGTTTTGTCACACGGGCCATGTTCACCCGCCATGCCGATCCCCCTTGCAAATAAGCTGTGTGGTGCCGGTTGTTGCAGAACGAACTGTGGGACGCCTGGCACGTGATTGTGTTCACCATGGCTCATTCTTTCCATCCTTCCTTTTCAGTCCTCTGGCTGGTATCCCGGCATCTTTCGCAAAAGAACCCATCTTATCTCCTTATACCTCGTGCTGATTGTGATCTGTTTTTACATTGCATTTTGTTTTTTTCCCTACAGCGTCAGAAAAGAGCAATTCAGTTTTTGGGGTTTTTTGTTTGTTTGGAGGGTTTGTAGGGCCCCAGAAAATATGTTATTGCTCCTGTTGTTGTTGTTGTTGTTGTCTTTCCTTTGCAACTGTGCAAGTTACTGCTGTCTTACTGAAGGTGCACAAATTTCTCTGCACTGCTCCTAAATTGGCACAAATTTCCCCTCCATTTACTTCTCAGTCGTTAAATCTTTCCCAATCTTTCCCATTACATCTTTCCCAATCCAAAAAACTGTGCCAGTGTTCCTGACAATTAAAAAACAAAAACCCCTTATCAATGGCAAAAGGGGTGCCAGCATCAGTGGTACTTCCACCTCCCCCCCATGAGGTCTCTTCACCCCACCCCATTCAGTCGCCATCTCTGGGTAGATTCTTCAGAACGGTCAGGGACCCACAGTAATTGCAATAAGTTCTCCAAAAAGGGATTGTGAAAAGGTGAGGGAGCCAATATCAACTCTTTTTGGGCAGGCTGGAGACTTGGAAGTGTTGAAACAGTGGCAGATGTGGAAACCTCACAGTTCAATCCAGTTGCTAAGCAGGAGGTATTTTCCCTCCCACCCCCTGCTTGTCGTGTGCCTACATTTGCTGCTTTCCCCCCTTCTGCCAGTGTCTTTTAATTGAGTGCTCGACCGGCAATCGTGCACAGTCTTGTCACTTTCCATGTATGTTACCTGCTCCACTCCATTTGGCAGCTAAAATTTAAAGGAAAATCGACCAGACCTATCTGATAGCCACAAGAGCACACTTGTGAAGGACCACCAAAATTAATAATGGTAACTGAAAATAATGAACACATTGGTACACTTTTCTAGGGCCAAAAACAGGTGGGGAACCAATGATAGTCATTGTAAAGTGCCTCTTGGCCATTGATGGAAAGGCTGTCACTGGTGGTGACGAGGGTGAGATGATGACGAGCAGTAGGGGATCTTGCTGCTCTTGTCAAGGCAGCTCACTGTCCCCACAACATGCCCTCATAATCTCCACAACCCACAACGAAATTGTTTTCCTGGGTTGGGACATTATGGCAGCCTGTTGCGGATTGAACAACTCTTAGCGCAAGATACAGGTTTTCAGGGTGGCTTGCTGCCTAAAATGAACTAACCCTACAGGAAGTGTTCTGGGTTCAGGTGGCACCACAACCCATTGTGGCTAGTCATGCAGACCCTGTTATAATCTGATCTTTGTGTGAACCCGTTTTAGAGGCAGGTTGCTATTCCTACAGTTTGCGCTGATGGGGAAGTAAACGTAAGGGATTGATGAGCCCAGGACCATCCAAATGCCTGAGTGAACATTCAGTCTCGGCTAGGGTTACTTTCTCAAAAGGTGTTAGGGCATGGTTCTGCCTGGAAGCCTATGCATTTGGGTCAGTTGTAGTTTCTTAGTGGAAAAGGGACTGCCCTCTTTACGTTCATTTACTGTCTTACTCCTTCATACATTACTTCACTCAAGACTGCCCATGTTTTAAGATCTTTGGGGAGGCTTTTCTTTTTGTGCATTGGAAGTATGTTTAGTGGGGATGCAGAAGAGAGACTTCTCAGAGACTTTTCCCTTCAGAATTATCTGCTGAGCAAGGCTGGGTTACTCCCCTCTCTGCTCTCCTTTTCCTGGCTGACAGAGTTGTTTATATTCTGGCAGGATTTTGGCCTGTAAGCTGCTCTGTTGCAGCATGGATTTTAATTGGTGGTGGCCTATCTTTTCTTATGTTTGAAATTAATCAATTCATTAATTAGTTAGTATATATGTATACTAACTAATGTAATGTAATACTTATGTTAATTAAGATTTGTTTTTAGTTTATATTTTATTTGTCATTTGGAGGGATGAAAGATAGGATAGAAATAAATAAAGGTTCTGAATGTTGTATTCACAGTAGGTTCTGGATGTTAGGCCGCAGCTCGGTTTAATCCCCAAAGGCTGATCTCCCAGTGCTAAAGCCAACACAGTCAACATGATCATGCTGGCTGGTGTGTACACACCGTGAGTTTGTGAAGCATGGATGAGTCTAAACTACGCATTCAGTGGGGTTTCGTGTAACTTTGCCCTGACTATTGAATGACATTGTAGTTGGGAGCCAGGGCAGGGGCTGCTTCATCCTTTCCTGCCTTGCTGTTTCCCCACCCTGTTTCCAATTTCCTTTGCTTTCCCAACCTGCTTTTCTCTTCACTGGGGAAAATATGTTGTTATGTTGGCGAGGGACTAAGCAAAGCAGTCTGTTGGAGATTACTTTGAATGGGGAAATGACTGGCAGCAAAAGGGCTGAGAACCCACACGTCCATCTTTACTGTCCTGAGTGGCTCCTTTGCATTAAAAAAAAATTGCTGGGAAAACTTCCACATGACAGCTTGACTCTTGAAAGGTAAGCCCAAAACAGATCCTTCTTCAGCATTTCTCCTCCACTGCAGTCTTGCTCAGTAAACTTAACGAAGTGTCTTTTAAATTTTTCTCCTCCCTACCCAAAGTGCAGGAGGGTTTTGACCCACCTCGCAGGGCAGATGTAAAGGGAATGTCTGTGAAGTGCTTTGAACTTGGCAAAAGGAGACATGTTCATGCCAAGTGCTGTTACAGGGCTGATATCAAAGAGAGCATTATAATTAGGGGATAATCTGGGGGCTGGTTCTCAGCTGAAGGGTTTGCTCATGCATCCTCTATATCTTGATACATCTAAATAAGGCACTGGTATCATTCTTTCTGCAGCCGGAGTCTCAGTCTCCCGTGTTCAGCACCAGTGCCTCTGTATCCCGAGTCATCTCTCCTCATGCAAGTGAAGAGGAACACGTCTACAGGTATCCTGCCTTTGCCTCCCTTTGGCCTCCACCCCAGTCCCAGAGCATGAAGCCTGCTCTGTGCACAGAATGCCGTTCTGCTGATGGAAGCTGGCGATATTTGGCATCAGTGTTGACACTCCTGCCTGTCCTTTCGGAGCCAGTTCTTGCAATGCTTTTCCCACTGGATGAATATTTGTGGTCCCAGTCCCACACTCTTAACCATGACACCACACTGGTTCTTGAGATGCAAGCTTATACAAAAGGGAGGGGTGTGGGAAGGAGAGGAGACCCACGTTAACTGTGGATGAATTTGAACAGTTCAGTTACCTCTCCCTTTCTTTTGATTCACTTGTGCAGAAAAGACTAGTGAATTAAGGTTAATGTCAAACCTGGCTTTCTCGCAAAAGCAGCGACTAAGGACACATTAAAGGAACAGTGAATCCTTTATTTTAGCAGTACACAAAAAAGGCAGCTCACTTGGTGAAATGTGTGATCGACTCTCCTTGCTTTTTTCCTTTGACCTCCAGTTTCCCCAACAAGCCGAAGTCTGCAGAACCATCTCCCACCCTCATGAGTTCTTCATTGGGCAATAATCTATCAGAACTGGACCGACTGTTACTGGAACTCAATGCTGTTCAGCACAATCCTCCTGGGGGCTACCCAGCAGGTACGGGGGCTTGGCCATGATAAATTGATGTCGAGAGGAGAGAGAGGCAGGAAGGAGGAAGACATCCTACTTTTGATCCGGGTGTTTTTGCATCCCCCGTAGAGCTGCAGCGCTTATTCATCTGCCAGGGGGGTTGTGATGGCCAAAGCTGAGACCCAAGTGCGCATGAGTGGGAGGGAGCACACTGCCTGCCATGCACCTGCTGCTGCTTCTTTTACTGCGCACCCTACTCTTGGGTTCCTTCAGGGGTTGTTCAGAATACTATCCAAGCCCAGGCGAAGGGCTGAACAGCTTGAATTTGAGTTGGCTCCACCCTCACGGTTTCTTGTTTGGTTATCTGATGGGTTGTTTAGTCCCCAAACAACTTGGCATTCTGGGTTCTTATGTCACATTCAGCAACTGCAGAAGAGCTGATCACAGTTTGTGGAGTGAGAGTGGGGCTGGTGCTTCCCATATAACTGATGGGTGGTCATTCCATGCAAGTAGGGCCTGGAACCCTTGCAGTTCCTGGACCCAGCACAGAAAGCTGTGAGGCTACTGGAATGGAGAGAAGCGGCAGAGATGGTGGTTCCCTGGCAGTCCTGGCATTACCTTTTCGAGTAATAAAAGTATAGGAGACTAAAGCATGTACCACTTTGAAAGTGAGGGAAGAGGGGAAATGCCATTTGAAGTCTTGCTGGGTTTCTGTACCTTACATTACTGTGAACAATGCTTAACTGACTGCCTGTGTCCCTCTGTTTTTAAGACGAAGCCACCAGGAGCCCCTCAGTGCCTGGTGGGGCTGGCACTCACTATGGCATCTCAGAGAACACTACCTCTTTGAACACGCAGCCAGCAGCACCTGCAAAAGAGAAACCCAAGCGGAATGGGGGGCAGACCGTTGAGGATGTGTGTCCCAGTGTAGAGAGCCTTTTAGACGAGCTGGAGAGCTCTGTGCCCAGTCCCGTGTGAGTAGCAACGTAACCACTTCTCATGAACGTGCAGGGGTTTCAGGATGGAGGGGGAACTGGGACTGCTTCTATTATATTAGCTGTATTGAAAACACCATCATTGGTTTCGCACAAAAGAAAAAAGGAACTACAACCCTGAAAGGGAAAGGGAAAAGGGGAATCAAGAGTGGAAAAGAGCAAGCAAAATACCAGTTTCTTAAGAGTACACAGGGCTTTCCAGTATCTATTGCCTTGAAGAGAAAATAATCGCCAGTAAGAATTGGTCAGCAAAACTTCTCCAGGCATTTGGTGTCCTGGAGGCCGTTGATTCCTCCAAATGAGGCAGGCGGGATCAATAAGCACCCCGAGCTGCAATCTGGTTGTTCAAGGGGATTCTAGATTCAAGCCTCTTCTAGAACGGGTTGAATTTGACTTGACTTCAAAAATCTAGATGCTCTTACTCGGTGATCTCATGTTAACATTATAAAAGCATGGAAAACAAGACAGAGTTCTGCAAGACTCTGTAGCAGAAATGCCAAGGAGCCAAGCAATCGTTTCTCAGCACTGCCTTTTAAATTCAACTGTCCAGGCAGGAGAGAACCACTGGAAAGCAATGCCTGAAATGCCCAGACCTGATGCCTTTCTAGAAGGAACAGCACGATCCATGGTATTGAAAGCCACTGAGAGATCCATGGGGATCGACGATGTTGCATTCCCTCTTTCCGCAGTCTGGCAAAACCAAACCTACACTCTTAATTTGAAATGGTTCTGGATAATCAGTCTGATCCAAAAGATTCTGGAGTTGCACGGCATCAGCTTACTCAAGCACTTCACCCGCTTGAGGTGGAGCTGTAGGCTTTCAGGACCTCAGTGACCCAGCTGGTTAACCCTTGCCTACTCGAAGACGGCGGCAGACAGGCACAATGCTGGAGGTGGGCCGCACTTGTCCAAGAATTTCTCAGTATCCTCCAACTGCAACAACAGGTGTTTGTTCTGTACAACAGGACTAGGTGAGGGTTCAGGATACCCTGGTTGATTGGATTGTCCCAAATTAACCTTCAAATCATGTCTGACGTGGGTGGTTTTATCCTCAGTTTGTGTCTCGTCTTTTCTTTAGCCCAGCCATCACTGTGAATCAGGGAGAGATGAGCAGTCCCCAGCGGGTCACCTCCAGCCAGCAACAGACTCGGATATCTGCCTCGTCGGCAACAAGAGAGCTGGATGAGCTAATGGCTTCTCTTTCAGACTTCAAGGTGCGCATTGTTAGCATTTTAGCTTTTGCTGCTTGCTTGTCAGTGTGACCCCTTTCTGTTTTGTTCTTTACTGGGACCCTCTTCCTGCCCTGGATGTATGTACGTATGTATTGCATCGATATCCCATCTTTTTTTCCGCTTGCAAGGAACCGAGGGTGGCTCCAATAGTCCTTCTCTCCATGTTATCCTCACAATTACCCTGTGAGGGAGGCTAGGCTGGGACTGGCCCAGAGTCACCAGTGAGCTTCTCCTGAGTCCCAGTACAACATTCTAACCATGCCTCCACACTGGATCTCAGTGTAAAGCTGCACTCCTTTACCTTTGGTATTTGCACGTTAGAGCTGTAACTATATGAGGTGCACCACTTTTAAAATTCTAGGTGATTTGGTGGTTTTTGCGTTGTTTCCTCGTATGTGGTATGTTTCATGAGCATCGTATGTTGGATCTAACATCATCATCCAATTTTTTTCTACTGATTTAACAATTGGACTGTCTTCTCAAGAGAAGGAGTACATCCTCCAATGACTTGTGTACACATCGCATTTTTACCTTGCCAAATATCAGAGGTGTGTCTCCACAGGACGGGGGAGAGTTGAAAAGCAGTTTCTGTAAGAATTTCCTAAATAGGTGGATGTGCAAAACCAGGAAAAATATTATTAAAACAGTGTCACTCATAATGACATTTAGGAGCCTATTCATCGTATTTGATATTTGTATAATATGACAATTTCATACATAAGTTTCTGAATATCCAAGCATGGTTGTACAGTTGTGCTTTGTATAGTTAAGAATATGTCTTAAGTGTTCTCTTGTTCCAAAGTGTAAATATTCTCTATTTTACTATAGAATCAGGATGACTTGCATTCGCTGAATGAAATTTGGCATAGAATTATCTCCGTGGCAGGTGCTATAACTTGGCCAGATTTCAGGAACAGATCTATTAAGGCATGGCTAGGAAACAGTGTTTCAATATTTCCCTGTTGTGGCCATTTTTGCACACCCAGAATAGATGTCTGGTTTCTCCCCCTTACCCCTATTCTAATTCATTTTCTGAGAGAATTTCAGGGCAATTGTAGGTGTGTTGCCCTTTCCTGGTTTGCTGAAAACGCAATATAAAGTTAAGAGGCATTAAATCTCTACTTCATTTCTTTGTGATTCAAAACACTTTGCCTGTCCCGAAAGAAATTGCAGCTTCTGGGCTGAAACTGCTGTTTGCCAAGGCAAACATGGAAGAGGGAGCTTGTAAAAGGTTAGCAAGGAGAGAAGTCCAGGAAAAAAGGGGTCATATGAGAAAGAGAAGGATAAAGCAAAACAGCAAGACTAGGAGTGGGTTGCATTACTAGTCCTATAAAGAGAAACCTCTTTCTATGGGTTTTATATTGCACTGTAACAGAAAATTCTTCTTCCAGGACATAAAGGTCTAGAACAGCCACCCCCAACCTTGTGGCTTCCAGACACATTTGGACTGCAACACCCAGCATTCCCAGTCAACGGCCGTCCTGGATGGGGATTCTGGGAGCTGTGGTCCAAATGCCTCTGCCGGCCACCAGGTTGGGGAAGGCTTGTCCGGAAAATGCCTGTCTGCATTGACCTGATGTTGAAGCATTAAAAAAAAACAAATAAAAAGCAAAACAATTGTCTTCCATATTTGCTCAGGCATGGCAAGGGAAGGACCCTATCTTCACATGTTGATTTTTAGAAACTGCCTCGCCTTGAACTTCACCATAATAATAAAGTAGTGCTTTAAAAAACCCCCAGAACAGTACAGTCAGGGCCTATAAATGGAAGTTAGATGCCACAGCATTGGTTTCTTTTCCATAAGAGATTGCAAGTAAGATACTGACAGAAGGGAAACAACAGTGGAAAGGCAGGGATTCTAATCTTCCTTGGGTACTAATGATGCCATAGATAAGGGCATGGGAAACAGTGATAATGTTTAACTTGATGCACTGTAAAAGATTATGGAAAAAGAAACATTTGTCACTTTATAATAAAGAAGAGTGCTTGTAGTTCATTAGAAAGGCAGAATATACTGGATATCATGCAGAATAATGTGTTATTTGGAGTGTGTAAGTGCATTTATGTACAAAATCTATGGGACTTTCATTCTTTTAATGGTAGAGGTTAAAAAGTGAAATGAAATATTTATTTTGTTGTTCTGATTTCAGTTCCACAGTGAACTGAATCCAGCTTTAACAATTGTAAAATAAATAAATGGAGCATTCATTTGCAGCTCAGCCATCACTGGTTTCTCCCCAGTTTGCCTTTGAAAAGATCTTTATATTGCAATAAAGTTCTGTTTATCCTGCAACAAGAAAGAAAAAGTACTGGGGTTTTTGATTCTTGATTTTTAAGATTATGTATTAAGCATTTTAAAACAAGCAACCTTGAGGCGATTGGTGGGTCATGACCAAATAGAGAGATCTGAGTAAGACATGAACTAAGAAGGATGCTGCATTTGAAACAAACACTTGATTCAAACTGTTTTTGCTTCATCTCTCTGGCTGCATTCTGAAAAATTAAGCAGTGAAGTGACCAAAAAGTGCGCACCGCAGCAGTATGGTTGTGATGAAATGTGCACCTTCTGTAGCTCCCCAAAACTCTCTTGCATGTCATACAGGCAAGATTCTAATGACCTTCTTGTCCCTCCTTGCTATTTAAGATTTTTATGCTACCAGTGAAGGATTATGTTTAAGGTTATGCTAAGTGAAGGTTCATCCTTGGCCTTCAAGTGCACCGTGGTCCTTGATTTTGTTTTTACTATTGAACTTCCTTCTCTGTATTCATTCGGCTGCCAAGTGGCACACTACCCCTCTACCATTTAGCACAGATTCTGTGTGAATGAAGCCAGGAATAAAACGGCAATGTTTAAGCGGCAAGGAAAATGTGATGTGAGCAGGTCAAAAGTTCAGGTAACTGTGCATGCTCAGTATGACACTTTTATTTGCCTTTATAGGCCTTCCCAAACAAACCCTTCCCCTAAAGAGGGAGAACTCGTAAACTGAAAAGCACTGGTCCTGTTGGGCCATGTGGCTGCCTGACCGTCAGAGCTGTATTTCTAGCGTAGGTGTTGCTTGACCTTCATTTCTCTGCTGTGGGTGTACTAGAATACAGACAGTGTGGTTTAACCAGGAATGGTTGGGCTAGAGATGCCAGTGGCTGGTTAGTGTGCCTGCTTGTGAAAAGCATTTTCAGCCTACTCCTCAGTCAAAAACACTCCTGGTGTGGCTTATAGTCAGTTAAAACCAGCCTGTACCTGCATGCTTAGAATCTAAAAAGAATTTTATTTATGTTATTTATGCTATTACATTGTAAGCCGTCCTGAGGCTTTTTTGCGATTAGGACGGCATATAAATATTTTAAATAAATAAAATAAAAAGTCAGAACACACAAGGAAAAGGGGGTGTATAGGAAGGTGGAAGAAATACAGCACTCTGTGAGCAGGGCTGGTGGGAACCTCTGCTACTTCTGATCCCACTCAGTCTACTGTTTATACTTCCTGCTTTAAAACAGACACAGACATGGTAAAATAACCCAAATTATTTACCAGGTAAAGCTGCATTCCTCTCCGCACATAAATTATGGAAAACAAACAAATTTAGTGCTTTCCCTTCCTTTTGCTTCTATTAGTTCTGAGGACGGGAAGGAAGTATTCTACCCACTGAAGCCACTGGGAATTTTTGGAAGCAATTCTGAGAGTTCTGAGAGCTTCTGAGAGTTCACCAGGCCTTGCCTTGGCACATGGCAATCCTAAGCATGAGAAACGTGCACGGTTGCTGGTGGTGAAAGGTCTACTTCCCAAAGAGACCTCCTGAACCAGACTTCCTGAACCCAATCTTTCTGTGCTTAGGCAGTTCATGAGAAATGTGCAAAGCCGGCAATAGAAAAATCCGCCTCATGCAGTCAGTATGTTTGTCAGAGCCTTCTCTGCCCGAGTGAAGAGCATTCATACTTCACTGTGTGTGTGTGTGCGCACGCGCGAGCGCAAAACACAGCATGCAGATTTTTAAGCTCTTCAGTACAAAGCACAGTTGTTCACTTAAAGGGGTGCTGTCTCAAATAGACACTTGGTTCCCTGACCCGTCTATTCTGGCTTTATTGTATTTTTACCCCATTCAGTCAGAAAAGGCTCTTGAAGTGGCTTACAAAGATTAACAATGGGAGAATCCGTGCCCTCAGATTTAGAGTCTTAAAGGTGCAACACAAAAGTGAAATGAAAAAGGAAACAACAAACTTCAGGCCCCAGTTCTTGGAGTGCCTATAAGTATTCTGTTGGGAGGGGTGAAGCAAGGTCCCTGTAGCTGTTCCCACCCTGCATGGTGTCGGACTGGCCTCCCCCTTGCTGTGAAATGCTTGCTGTGATGCAAGGATTGCATCCTCCCAGTGAACATTGGCTCCCTGGCTGGCAGAGAAGTCAAATTCTGCAGTCCCAAGAAGCTATTGCAGTTAGACTTCACTTTCATTCCTATCTGAACCAGCAGAGCAGGGTATTTGGTGTGAGGAGGGTCTTTTTGAGCAAGCTTGTGACTTGCATGTCATAGTATGCCCAGTGTCAAGCTGGATGCAGTGCAGAATTCTTGGTATAACTGACTTGGGAGATCTAGTTCTACGAACAGAGATGTGAAATGATGCTTCCTGACTTGCTTGCTCTCAGAAATCGTGTGGCGCCTTTCCCAGATTACATCCTGCCTCCTGCTTCCCTGCTAACTAACCTAAAAAAACTTCATTTGGAGCCATTATATTTTTCTATCATTCCCCTACTTTTTCTTCTCTCTGTCCTGTTTATATCGTTTCTGTCCTGTTTATATCCTTTCTCCCCTTGCATCCTCCCCTTGTCCCCTCCCACATTTCCTTCTCTTTTTGCAGACCAGTTCCACTGCATCCCTGACCTCTGAACCCTCCCTGGAGCTGCTTCCTGGACCAATTGGCCTGGATCCAGCCAGTACGCTTCCTTCTGTGGCTCTCCCGACTACCTCAAGGCAGCAGACCTCTGGCCATTA